ATTGCTCTCACATTTGTTTGAAGAAGGCCTCTTTGTCTGTCTCTTATACACATCTAGATGTGTATAAGAGACAGAATCTGTGTGAGTCAGTCTATTGTGAGTCAGTTCGTTATCAGACTTCCGCTGCATAAATGCTCATCCTATATTGGTTGATCTTTGGTTCTGCCCATACGCATTGAAGTATGTAACAAGTAGTCCCTGCTCAAGCCGACTTCCTCCTCGGGCATCTCCCTCTCTGGCCACCTCAGCAATGCAGATCTCCTCTGACGATCTCTGACATACACAATGAACTGGTCACAACAAGGCGCCCATCCTCCATCCACGTCAGCAGTAATTAGGGAGGATGGTGCAGATTTTTCTTTCATCCACTTGGAGACAATCGGCATATCACACACCGTCACGGTGAAGTCCAGGTAAGCTTCCCCTCATCTCATATACACCAATCTCACAGTCCAGATCCTCCTCCTCCTCGCCCACTCCCCTACCCTATCGATGTCGAGATCTACGTGGCTATGGCCATGACAGCATATTCTCCCTCAAGGCTGGTGCCCACTCTTCGCAGAATCTGGCGCCAGCATAAAGCTCCATCAGCCTTGCGTCGTCACACCAGCGATGAAAGCCAGCACAAGGCTGAATGCCACAAGCAGGGGCTGGGTCTACTTCATAGTGTCGACTCGCATTGACGAGCCTCCAGTCTGCCTGATCGACGGGGCCATGGCTGACCAGCGGGTTGACTTTGACTTCTGGGCCTGGATTCCCGTACTGGGGATTGACCGTTGACTTTCTCAAAGTCGACGGCTCTTCGTAGGGCCTCTGGATGCTGGTTTTGGCCCTGCCCTGGGTACCCCTTGGCCTTAGGCCTTTGCCAAGGCTTTTCTTAGACTTAGGGCGTGACTTTTGACCCCTGTTTTGGGCCCCAAAAAAGTGACGACCTAGAGCCCGCAGCTTATGCGGATTTGAGCCAAGTTATTGCAAGTCCCCCTAATAGTGCGACAGGCACTCCAAACACCCCACCATCTACTGTTTAGCACTTCTCAGAGGTGCTCCTCGCTTAGACACACAAGGTACTTGGAAAGAAACTGGAAGAAAGACATACCAGGAAAGTACTGGAATAAAGACGTTTAAAAAAAAAAAAGGAAGAAAGGCATCCATAAAGCTGATTGTGTATGTGTTTCCGTGTCTGTGTGTGTGTGTTTGGCTGTGTGTGTGTGTGTGTGTGTGTGTGTGTGTGTGTGTGTGTGTGTGTGTGTGTGTGTGTGTGTGTGTGATGATGTATAGATGCGGCTAAAGCATCGGAATACGAGGCCGAGATGAGGAGAATAAGGGAGAAACAGCAAATGGAGATGGAGGAGGCACGGAGTGTATGGCTGGCAAAGCAATTGGAAAAGGAGGAACAGCAAAGAAAGGCACGTCTTGAGGAGCTGGACGGAAAGGCACAGCGGCTTGGAATCAGGCTGAAGGGGCAAGGCCACAAGCTTGGACATGGGGACAAGGTGCGGTGATCCCTCCATCGGTGGTGTTAGAATGCCTGGGACAGATGCTCGCTTCTCAGCAACTATGGTTGTCCTCTGTATCCATGAGACTCTTTAATCATTTGATTGATTAGAGGTTGGGAGGCCAAGATGA